GGGTGGGCGGGTGGGTAGGGGAGAGGTGGACCAAGCCTACAGCTCCGGGGGCCCTTAGCGTTGAAGTCCTGGGGGGCTCTGAAGAAGGGCCCTAAATGCTTCGTCGGTGTTGCTCTCAGGTGAAGCTGCCCGCGCAGAAGGAAGTGGTCACGTCGGACGAGCTGATGGCCTACCTCGGTAAGGAGCCCCGTCGCGGCTGCCGTTTCCCCACTCCCGGGCAGGGTGGTGGTGACTACCCAGCTTCCCCCCATTGCTCCCTTTTTTCCTCTCTGCCCAACAACCCTGTGAGGTGGGCCAGCATTCCCGTATCCACCTCCCTGGCGGAAGGTGCTTTCTGTCCCCCGTCCTTCCCCGGTGGGGCTCCCCTGCCCTGAGGCCGCCTAACCGAGGGGTCCCCTCCTTGTGCCGTTTGCAGGGGACTGCATCCTGTCCATCAAGCCCCAGGGCCAAGCCGAGGCGGTCCAGCTCAACTTCCAGCAGGTGGGTCTGCTGGCGCGGGTTCTCCCACGGGGCGCCATCTGGCCGGCTCTGGTCCTGAGCTACTGGGCGCCAGACCCCAAAGCGTTTGGGGCAAACGGTCCAGGCCGGTTTTCTTAGGAGGCCAGGCCAACCCTCTCCTCTCCCCACTTCTGTGGCCAGAACGTCAACGATGCCATGATGGTGCTTCCCAAACTGTCCACGGGGCTGGACGTCAACGTGAGATTTACCGGCGTCTCCGACTTTGAGTACACCCCCGAGTGTATCGTTTTTGACCTCCTGAACGTCCCACTTTATCACGGGTGGCTGGTGGATCCCCAGGTGAGTCGCTTTGCTCCCCTGGCGCTGGGGGGGCAGAGGCGCGTGGAGGGTGGCTAGCTGAAATCACCCCCAAGAGTCCGCGCAGCCAGAATCGGGGCAAGAGACATTGGCATAAACCAGTATTTCTCAACCCTGGCACCTATAAGGTGTCTGGGCTTCAACTCCCAGAATTTCCCAGCCAGCTGGGGAATTCTGGGAGTTGAAGCCCAGACATCTTATAGGTGCCAAGGTTGAGAAACACTGGCATAGTTAACCCTTGATCTGCTGGGAAGTGGCCTAGCCAGCTGGGAAGATGCGTTGCTATCCCCTGCTGGATAGGAGGGCAGCCTCCACTTCAGGGGGAAAACAAAGCAGGCTGCTAGTCCTCATGGACAGGGCTGGATGTTTGGAAATCTGTGCCTCTTTGCAAGGCTGGCCCTTTTGAAGAATCCAAAACTCAAGAGGGGACTTGCTGACCCGCAGTTCTTAAGCCATGGGGCCCTCTCCCCAAGCGTTTAGCAGTTCCCTCCCTCCCCCCCCAGGTTTGACGCACACAACACCCCTGCAAAGTAGCAACACAACACAGAAATGTAAACCCCACCTCGCCGGTGCCCCATTCTCCCTGCTTTAAGGTGGGTATTTTAGGGTGGGTATTTCCGTTCTCTCGTCCCCAGACTCCTGAGGTGGCCCAGGCCGTTGGCAAGCTGAGCTACAACCAGCTGGTGGAGAAGATCATCACCTGCAAACACTCCAGCGACCCGAACTTAGTGACGGAAGGTAACATCTGGGCGCTTTGGGCATGCCACCTTTTCCGAAGGGGGTCCCTCTGGGCATTGCCGGGGGCTGGCACACCCGGGAAGGTTGCCTTGATGAAGGAAGTAAAAATCCAAGGCCCGTTTTCCCCAAGGTGGCTTTTTCTCAACAGGGCCGTCCCGTTGTTAAGTAAGTGTGGGGCAGGGGCGGAAATTAGTAACGCGTGCCCACCTTCCTCTGCCAACTTGATCCCTGTTTCTCCTTCCTCGCTTTCCCTGCCCAGGCCTGATAGCCGAGCAGTTTCTGGAGTCCACAGCTTCCCAGCTGACTTACCACGGCCTGTGCGAGCTCACTTCCATGGTCAAGGAAGGCGAGCTGAGCGTTTTTTTCCGGAACAACCACTTTAGTGCCATGATCAAGCACAAGGTATTTCTCCAGGAGACATTAGGAATGGGTTCTTGTTGTTATTTTCAATTGCCGTTGCAAACGCTGCAGGTTCAAAGCCTGCCCGGCGCACGTCGCATCTGACAAATAGACGTCGTCGTGAAACTATCCGCTAAGCCCCTTCTCTTGGGTGTGTTCTTTTAAAAAGAACAAGTTTCTGGCCCTTGTTGTTTTAGGCTTAAAAACGCAAGGGCAGAGCCCAGGGGAACCCGAGAAAACCAACGTTAGGTTTGTAATCAGTGGGGTAAAAATGTGGAGCGTTGTGTTATGTGGGCACGTAGGATAAAAACTCTCGTTGGCCCACCCACTCCTTCGTTGCCTCCCCAAACAGGGGTACTTTTAGCCTGGAAAAAATGCTCTGATGTGACTTGGTTGAAAAGAAATCACCCAACGGGCCCCGTTCGCTGAGTTTTTTTGTCCTTCCTTCCCTGCTCGGCTTCAGAGCCACCTCTACCTGCTGGTCACAGACCAGGGTTTCTTGAACGAAGACCAGGTGACGTGGGAAAGCTTGCACAACGTGGACGGGGACAGCTGCTTCTGCGACGCGGAGTTCCACCTGAGCCACGCGCTGGGCAAGGAGGCCGCGGGGGGGTCCCCTGTGGATCAGAGGCAAGTGGATCAGGTATGCCGGGGGCCGGCCTGCAGGCTGGGCGGGGGGCGCCCTTGCCGATGCAAGTCCGCGTCGGCCGGAGCCGATGCGCCCGAGAATTTGCGAGGAAAGAGGAATTCCCTCTCCGTTCCCGGGGACGGGAGTTGTGCCGAGGCAGGGTGGGAGCGCAGGAAGCAGAGGCGCGACCTCGGGGGGCTTCCGGGGATTGGATCTGGAGCAGACCCGGAGAGGGGGAAATCCCTTGGAGACGTTTTGCCTCGGGGCCCTCCAACCTCGGGATGCTTGGTCCCGCGGTCCGGCCCCTGCAGGGGCTCAGATGGGGAGGCTGCCTTCGTGCAGTTTTGGGGTTCTCTGTCCTATCCAAGAGCCGCCTGATGCCGTCAGGCTGGCGGAGTTGCCAGAGGAGCGTAAAAGGAGGTTTCAGAGGGGGTGCAGGTGGTGATGACCCCCTGCAGGTAGGAGCCAAAAACACCTTTGAATGCAGGAGGTGTGGATAAGAAACGGAGGCAGCCTTTCTGACCCACCCACCCTCCCTGTTTTTTCTCCCCCCCCCCCCTTAATGCCCTCCTCGTCTTTGCTGTCCCTGCTTTTGGGGGCAAAGCCCACCTGCCCCCCGCCCCGCCCGAGAGCGCAGGCAGCGGCAGAAGCCAGAGACGGACTGCATCCTCCTCTGAGGCTGACCTGCT